TGAAGAGGCCAAAAGGGCCAACCATATATTATGATCAGCATAACTTGACCATGAGAATATTTCAGTATCTTTTTTTTTTTTTTTTTTTAAACAGAGTCTCACTCTGTCACCCAGGCTGGAGTGCAGTGGCTTGATCTCAGCTCACTGCAACCTCCGCCTCCAGGGTTCGAGTGATTCTCCCACCTCAGCCTCCTGAGTAGCTGGGATTTACAGGCATGCGCCACCACACCCCACTAATTTTTGTAATTTTAGCAGAGATGGGGTTTCACCATGTTGCCCAGGCTGGTCTCAAACTTCTGGGCTCAAATGATCCACCCACCTCAGCCTCCCAAAGTGCTGGGATTACATGTGTGAGCCACCATACCTATCTGGCCATGAGAATATTTCCAATGATACTCATAGGCCAGGCACGGTGGCTCACGCCTGTAATCCCAACATTTTGAGAGGCTGAGGCAGGAGGATCACTGGAGCCCAGGAGTTCAAGACTAGCCTGAGCAACATGCAAAATTCTGTCTCTATTTTTAGAATAAAATAAAATTTAATACACCCAAAAGCATCTTTTGTGTCTATGTAAAACACTATGCACATCTTTTTTTTTTCTGACACAGAGTTTCACTGTGTCCCCCAGTCTGGAGCTCAAGTGATCATCCCACCTCTCAGCCTCCTAAGTAGCTGGGACTACAGGCATATGCCACCACACCCAGCTAATTATGTATTTTTTTGTACAGATGGGGTTTTGCCATGTTGCACAGGCTGGTCTTGGAGCTCCTGGGCTGAGATCCATCTGCCTCGGTCTCCCAAAGTGCTGGGATTATAGGTGTGAGCCACCATGCCTGGCCTCAGATCTACATTGTACTTTTAAAATAAGGAGAACCTAAGGGATAATTTTCATATTGGTAAGAATGGTTATTAAAAACAAATATTTTACAATCAGATTTTCTCTCTGCTGGAACTACGACAAGGTGAATGGTCTTGTGCTTCATTGATAGAAGCTGATGTGAAGATGAGGATTTCTAAAAATAATGTGTTTCAACATAGTTAAAATTGTAAATAAAAAAATCAATTTATACTTTGTTCTTTAAACATATTCTGCATTCTGAAACTCTGACTTTTAAGAAAATACTTTAAACCTTATCAGTTGAGGGTCATTTAATAATCTTTATTTTTAAATGTTTCTGTATTATCTGAAACTATTTAAGAAACAGTTTTGTTTTTTTGTTTTTCTTGAAAAAGAGTCTTGCTCTGTCCCCAGGCTTGCAGTGCAGTAGCACAATCTCAGCTCAATGCAACCTCCACCTCCTGTCTCAGCCTCCCTAGTAGCTGAGATTACAGGCGTGCACCACCATGCCCAGCTATTTTTATTTTTTTTTTATTTTTAGTAGAGACAGGGTTTCACTGTGTTGGCCAGGCTGGTCTCGAACTCTTCACCTCATGATCCACCCACCTCTGCCACCCAGAGTCTTGAGATTACAGACTGTGCCCAGCCAGAAATAATTTATTTCTAACTATTTAAGAAACATTCACCTTTTGGTACTTGTCAGCCGTATCTTTGTATCCTATGATTTCACTGATTTTAACATTTTTCACATATACTTGAAAAGTATCTTCATAGGCCCATTGATGATTCCTCTATGATATTATTTAATTCTTCGTCTTTTTTCCAGTTGTCTTAAGAATTGAATACATGCTCATGATCTGAGGTAGTTTTAGGGAAAGGTGCCCTATGGCCACAGCAGCTGGGTTCTTCTACTCAGACAGCTTTGAAGTAACAGGATTCTTAGACTACCTGTTATAGTCCAAGACTCTTGATTTATAAATATCATTAGTCTTTTATTTGCAGGCAGAATTCTGCTGGAATGCACTTAAATGAGAATTGCCCTTGTTATTTGCCCGTAGGGAAATTGCTTCCTGATACTCTAGACAGATCCACAGGTATATGGCAGCCAGAGATGCATTGTCTCATCAGGGTTGGATTCTGTCACTAACATAATATGTTGTCCAGAAAATTTTGCATTTGGAAAGAGAATTTTGTGTTAATATTAGCAATGGGAGACATCTCACTTTGGTGTAATAGTGTTAAGGGACGCATCATCGGACTTTGATACTATTTTTAGTGAAAAATACTTCATTGCCGCTTGTTAGAAAAACATCACAGGGCTAGGAAATAAAAGCATTTTTGCTTCTATAGAAACCTGGCACTTACTCCAGTTCTGACTAGAAAACTTACTCAAAGTAAAAAGAAAACCTGTTATTTTACGATAAGTTGTTTACATCTCCCAACCAGCTCGTCTTTGGAGAGCTGTGTCTTTTTCCAGTGGGCGCTACTTACGCAGAGCAGCTTTTGTCCACAGCAGGGACAAGTTAATGCATCGCATGCACAACATAAACAGTCTCCAGCTTACAATCAGGACGTGTTCCAAAAGCTCATTTTTAAGGCATTTATTTAAAACTCACAATGTGCTTATCCGTAGAAACAGTGGGTAAGTGATGGTCGGAGGGCCAAGCTACTCCACCAAAGCCTATTTAATGCATCATGTAACTAAACTTATACAGTTATGCTTCATACACCCTGGAAGGAGGGATCTCATATAATAGCAGGAAGAAAAGGAAGAGAAAATCTTTGTCTTCTTCCAAGAATCTCTTTTCCTTCATTTTTAAATTTTGTTCATCCTCTTCCTTTTGGGAAAGGACAGAGGGATTCCTGTCTCAGTATCTCATGTTCATGAAACAACTCTCCCTCACACCTACCCTAAAAATCTCTCCATACAGCTGAACTCAAAATAGAAGGAATCGGATCCTTTGACTTTACACATTTTTGTGCCATTAACCATAGCCCTGTGGCCCACTAATTTTTAAATACAGTGTTTCCTAGCTATATGATTCTCTAATTAGTGGATTTCTGGTCAGTGTTACAAAGTAAAGACTGATTTAGAAAAGAAATGAGGCTGGGTGTGGAGGCTCATGCCTGTAATCCCAGCACTTTGGGAGACTGAGGTGGGTGGATCACCTGAGATCAGGAGTTCAAGACCAGCCTGGCCAACATAGTGAAACCCCATCTCTCCTGAAAATACAAAAATCAGGTGGGCGTGCTGGCATACACCTGTAATCCCAGCTACCCAGGAGACTGAGGCAGGAAGATCGCTTGAACCTGGGAGGCAGAGGTTGCAGTGAGCCTAGATCATGCCACTGCGCTCCAGCCTGGGCGACAGAGTGAGACTCTCTCTCTCAAAAAAAAAAAGGTATTTGGGGCCTGAGCCACCATATAAAGAAATTGTTGTCCAGGAGTGGTGGGTCTTGCCTGTAATCCCTGTACTTTGTGAGGCTGAGGCAGGAAGATTGCTTGAGGCCAGGAGTTTGAGATTAGCTTGGGCACCATAGTGAGACCCCCATATCTACAAAAATTTAGCCAAGTGTAGTGGCTTGCACCTGTGGTCTCAGCTACTAGGGAGTCTGAGGCAGGAGGATCACTGGAGCTCAGGAGATTTCAGCTACAGCGAGCCATGCTTGTGCTATTCCACTCCAGCCTGGGCTTAGGAGTGAGACTGTCTCACACACAAAAAAATTGTTCCTCAAAGTCAGTGGTTCTAATGAACCGGTTTGATTGTCACATTTGGACCTCTACTGGTTAGAGGCCAGCCTAACATTCTGTACTGCATGGGATAACCACCCACAGCAGTTACCCAGCTTAAAAGATCAATGGCACAGAGGTTGAGAACGTGCTTTAAGCATATCCTAAAGTATGGGCATTATCTACAGGTGTTATATTGGGTCCAATCATTTGGGAAATCCAGGCTTAAGAGTTTACTAGGTGTGCTGGGTTGTCTGGCAGTGGTCAGGTCCTCTGCTCTGACCCTTTCCCCAGGTCCCCCAATCCAGACATTTGAAATTAGCATACCCTCTAATTCAGATGGACAGAAATGTATTGAGAGCCTATTGTGCAGCAGCAGTGTTGTAGATACTAGAGATACAGCAGGGAATCAACAGGGGTTCCTGTCCTCACTGGGCTTACATTCTCGTAGGGGGAAAAACTGTATAAGTTTAACTATATAGTTAACTATATAAGTGTATGTCTGTATAGAGAAATAAAGCAGGGAGTGGGGATAAAAGAGTTGGGGAGAAATTGGAATTTGAAACAAGAAAGTCAGGAAAAGCCTCATTGAGAATTTTACAGCTCTCACCCTTCTTCTATATAAGAACTTTGAAAATCAGAAAACTCCAGATAATTTCCATTCAGGACTGGAGTACACGGAGAGGAGAGGGAACTGAGATATCAAGAGTAGGGGCTGAAGTGTGTGGATCTTTGATGTATTCTGTGGGCTTGTGGGTTGCTTTCATTGGATTCCTCAGCCTGTGGTGGGCGTAGCCTGGCATAGATCTTGTGGACACAGAACATTTGGCAAACATATTGAAGCTGAAAGCAGAGCTGCTGAGCTGCATTATCCTGAGTCCACTGCAGGCGTCTAGCCTGGAGCTGCTTTGCACCCCGAAAGAACAGCAGTCGGAGCCTGTGAATATCATCCAGTAGGTGGGATGGAGGATGCTCGATTCTCCTGCTCTCAAGAATAACAGTTCCAGCCCTGGCACAGTAGCTCACACCTGTAATCCCAGCACTTTGAGAGGCCAAGGCAGGAGGATCGCTTGAGCTCAGGAGTTTGAGACCAGCCTGGGCCACATGGCAAAACCTCATCTCTACAAAAAATATAAAAATCACCCAGGTGTGTTGGCATGCACCTGTAGTCCCAGCTCCTTGGGAGGCTGAGGTGGGAGAATCACTTTAGGCCCTGAGGTTGAGGCTGCAAAGAGCCACGATCACATCACTGTACTCCAGCCTGGGTGACAGAGCGAGACCCTGTCTCAAAAAAAAAAAAAAAAAAAAAAATCCACAGTTCCATCTTTTTTGAAGAACAATTTATTTCCTTATAGCTGCCTTCTCACAGATAAGAAAAATATTTTTTAAAGTGTGGCCTTTTTTTTTTATTATTTGAAAAAAATCCATTTAGGACACAGCGCCTTACACCTCGCAGCCAAGAACAGCCACCATGAATGCATCAGGAAGCTCCTTCAGGTAAGGTGGTGACAACTTAGAATTATAAATGTGTCAGTTTTACAATTTAAAAGTAATCTTGTCTGTAAAAGAACAAACACACCCTCCATACATACTACTGTAAATACTGTCCCAAAGCCTGTGTTTCCTAAGAAGCTTCATGATTGAAATGATAGCCAAGGTAAGATTGTTTCCATAGCAACTCCACTGGAAGAGAAGAGGATCTAATCAAAACTGGAGTGTCTTTTTTGGGATCCAGCCTTTTTCTTCCCTTTATTTGGTTCTTCCTTTTCTTTGCTGAAGGACTTAATGCCTCTAAATATCAGCTTCTAAGCTGCTGGAGATTCTTACCACACAGGATCCCCAGTATCCTAGTATTGTTAAATCATCAGTAGAATGCAGCTCTTCTTTGAGATGCAAAATTTCAACCATTATTTTCTTATATGTAACTTGATGAGCTTTAGTTCTTGGGTTTTGTTTAAGTCCTTGGTTTTATTCTTCTTTATAATTTTAAGTCAACTCCCTGGTTCAATAATCTTTCCAGGAAGTTTATAACGATCCCTTAAAATGACAACTTCTATAAATCTTTAAAGATGAATATGTAATGAACTCCCAATAGCCATCCATGCGGTAACATCCAGTTGATGCAAGCTGGCTGTTCTCAGGAACAGCATAGAGCAATAAAATACATGTTTGGTTGTACTATCTGTTCTGTTGAGCTGTTGTCTTGGCCTCCACAAGCCCTATTTAGGACCCAGCATCTTGCTTTAATTTGGCTTCGAAATTCTAATGCAGAAATGTGGTCACATTCTTCAGCTTGTCCTGCTCTGTTGATCACACAGCTTCTTTCTTGCGTTATGTGATGCAAGCTACTGCCAGTTCCAAGAATGCTTAACCTTAACAGGTCTTTGAAGCTAAATTCAAGAAAAATAGATCAATGTCTGTGATGTTGTATTATGAGGCTTCCCTCTGAAGACAATTAAAATAGAACTTTTCTTCCCTGCCTTCTCTGGGACCAAACACTGCGGATAAGTGAAAATCATTGCTCAAGTGCTCTGCCTCCATACCCTTGGCCCTACCTCAACTTTTAAGTAATTTATTTATGTTTGAAATCTCCATTCCCATTCTGACTTGGCTATCCAGACTTTGCATCTGGCTCTGATTTTAAGGAAGTATTAACCTGACAAGCTGGATGTTCTCGTGGGCAAGAACCAGATATTCTAGTCTCTAATGTAATCTTATATCTGGTTATTCAAATGGATTGGTTTTTCTTCGGAATCTTTGAAGCCTTTAAAGAGTTCCTTGTGCTGTTTTAAAATTAGGCCAAAGCATGGCAAGTTGTAACTTAATCTCCATTCTTCTTACCACGGAAGGGCAGACATTTCACTAGAGTGGTAGTGTGTTATTACCTCCTCTAACTGCCAAACCATCCAGTTGTTCTTCTTCCTGGATGGTGGTTAAAACCTCAGCCGTGTCCTCCTGTTGGGCTGCCTTCCCAGGTCCTGTTCCTCTTTGCTGTCTAGCTAATTCTTCACCTCTTGTCTCAGTAGCTGAGGCTCTCTGTGCTGAGATCCCATCACCTGCTGCTCCCCACTCCTACACCCTCTGCATTTACGGATCTCCCTGGGCTCTCCAGGCCTCTGCTTAACTTACTGCCTGTCTGCTGGAGCCATTTCCCCTCTCCAGGGGCGACCAATGTAAAGTTCTTCCTTCTCCTGGCAATAAGAAAAAATAGAGCTTTGTGAGATTCTTCAAATTCAAATGAGCTCTTTCAGGCCAGGCATGGTGGCTCATGCCTGTAATTCCAGCATTTTGGGAGGCCAAGGCAGGCAGATCACCTGAAGTCAGGAGTTCAAGACCAGCCTGGCCAACATGGTGAAACCCCATCTCTACTGAAAGAATACAAAAATTAGCCGGGCATGGTGGTGCATGCCTATAATCCCAGCTACTTGAAAGGCTGAGGCAGGAGAATCACTGAAACCTGGGAGATGGAGGTTGCAGCGAGCCAAAGTTTTACCGCTACACTACAGCCTGGGCCATAGGGTGAGACTCCTTTAAAAAAAAACAAAACAGAAAACAAATGAGCTGTCTCCCTCCTCGAACCCCCAGCTATTCCTCCCGCCCTTTCTCATACCATGTTTCCTGGGTACTGTGCATCATGTCAAACAGTGACAAACAGCTGTCCCTATCCCAGTGGAGCTCCCAGTCTGATTAAATATTAAACATAAACATTACAGATTGCACAGCAGTACGAAGGAAGCTAATGGGTTACCGTGAGAGAGGAATGAGAAGCGGAAGTTCAGGGAAGACCTCATGAAGGAGGTGATATTTAAGCTGAGACCTCCCAAGGATGCAAAGAGCCAAGAGGAAAGTGTTCTAACCAAATGGAATGATGTGTGCAAAGGGCCTGAGGTAGAAAGGTGCTGGCCAGGGAGTGATGAAAGCCAGTGTGTGGGCCTGGGGCAGAGGAAGTGTGGAGGAAAAGTAGCGCAGGGTATGGGGCCTTGTTATGTCATGATGGGCTTGACTGCAGATCATCCTAAGTACAGCATGGAACTGTGAAGGGCTTTTAAGTAACAGCGATGGTCACCGTTTTAAAAGAGCATTCTGATTGTTTAGAGAATTGATAAAAAGGGGGAAAATCAGAACTGGGGAGACCCTCCAGGAGGTTACCTTAGCTGTTCAGGTGAGAAGATGCTGTCTTAAAGGATGTTGGGAATAAGAAAAGGAAGAGGGCAGATCGGAGGTGAGTTTGGGAAAAAAGAATTGACAAGACCTGGTTGTCCACTGGGGAGGAGGAATGGGGAGGAGGGTAAGAGGAGGAGGAGGATCGAAGCTGAATCACTGGTTGATGATGATGCTGTTGATGAAGATGATAGTCCAGGCGGGGCATGGGGAAGGGGAAGCCAGAGATTTTAGCCGGGCTACCTTTGAGGTGCTAACCCAGCCTGTCTAGGTTTGAATCTTGGCTTGGCAGATTTACTGTGACTTGAGCAAATTATCAACTTTTTTATGCCTCTGTTTCTTCATCTGAAAGTGGGAGTAATGATAGTATCTACCTCGGGTCGTTAGAGGACCTGAAACAGCTCTTTGAATAGTACCTGGCATGTGAGAGCTAATACATAGCACTTACTGTTGTATTGTTGGGATCTCTGCGTTTGGGAGTCACTAGCATCCATTTTTCTAGTTAGTATTTCAGGTTGTGGGTGTGGAGGAGCTTACCAGGAAGAGAGCTCAGAGGAAGAGCACTGAGGAGCCCTGGGGGTTTCTGTTTGGCTAGAGGAGGAGCCGCAAGAGGAAAAGCAGAATAGGATGAGCAAGCAAGGCTCTAGGAGCTGAGAGGTTGGAAAGAGGAGGACAGAAATGTTTACTGTCATTGGAAACATGAAGGTTGTTGGTGACCTTGACCAGGGCCATTTCCTTGGACTCAAAAGGGGACACCCAACTGCAGTGGTTTCAGGAGTGAATGGAGGTGGGGGAGCATGGTCTGCATGTGGGTCATCCTTAAGAGAAAGCTGGTTTTGTGAAGGGGGTCAGAAAGGGCAGGAGATGGGGGAGAAGACAAGATCAAGATGAGAGAGTTAGAGCATGTCTGTTAGCTGGTGGGGTGCTGGAGTGATGATGGAAGGAAAGGACAGATAGGTGAAGCAGTGAAGAGTGGGAGAGTTTGCCTATCCCGAAGACATGAGTCCCCTTCCCATAGCATACTGTAGACTCCTGGAGCACAGCAGTTGGGGCTTATTTATGTTTATAGTCTTCCTAATAAGTCACATCATACCTTGCAGGAAAAGTCTGAACTGAATAGAATTGGTGCAGCATATTTTATTATATGGATGTATTTATTTTTGTCTTATAGTCTAAATGCCCAGCCGAAAGTGTTGACAGCTCTGGGAAAACAGCTTTACATTATGCAGGTAACTTTCATTCTCCTTTTCGTCTTCTTCTGCCATTAGAAACACTAACTTTATCCTTATTCAAGCCATTAACCTTCCATACTATTCCTGGTGTTCTTTTCTGTCATCATTTCTAGACATTCCCATTTTACTCCATTTGTAAAATATGCAGAGTTTTACTGAGATGTACGCCTAGAATTCATCAGTTGCCTTGCCACCCAACCACTGAAAATTATCACGATTAATATATTTTAACTAATTTAAGATTGCTTTTTAAACTAAGATATTCATAAGCACTTGTAGATTTCAGGTAATGTGTGATACAGACTTTTTAATTTGAGGATTTTTATGAACATCAGTCAATTTTATTTACCAACATTTTGTTTAAGTACAATTACACAACTTCAAGTGACAAACACTGACACTGAACTATGAGTGATTAGATTTACACACGTGTTTTATTGCTAGTTGTGGTAAAGCTAAGTCCTGTGAAAAGCTGAATCAAATGTTTGCCTAAAGGCAACTGGCAGACATTGGCCTTAGGCCTGCATAACTCCGAAATTCTGAAATTAAGCAGTAATGTAAAACACCTCTCTTTTTTTTTCTTTGAGATGGAGTCTTGCTCTGTCACCAGGCTAGAGTGCAGTGGTGTGATCTTGGCTCACTATAACCTCCACCTCCCGGGTTCAAGCGATTCTCCTGCCTCGGCCTCCCAATTAGCTGGGACTACAGGCGCATGCCACCACCCCCAGCTAATTTTTGTATTTTTTTAGTAGAGACAAGGTTTCACCATGTTGGCCAAGGTGGTGTCAATCCCTTGACCTCATGATCCATCTGCCTTGGCCTCCCAAAGTGCTGAGATTACAGGCATCAGCCAACACACCTGGCAAAACACCTCGCTCTTAACCTTCCTAACACTATTTCTCTTCAGTGCAACTAGAGTGAATACATGTAGAGTGGGTAGAACATCAACATTTCCTTCCTGAAGTATCTGATACCCCTGGTTGTGAGAATAACTGTGATTGGCTGTGGTGTTTCTATTTTCCTTCCTCCAGCGGCGCAGGGCTGCCTTCAAGCTGTGCAGATTCTCTGCGAGCACAAGAGCCCCATAAACCTCAAAGATTTGGTGAGTATCAGGTAGTCACTAGATATAAAGGTAGACACTGGTGCCTAGAGCTCAGAGGGATACCTCTAGAGTCACTGAGACATTAGACCAGCAGTCCCCAACCTTTTTGGCACCAGGGATTGATTTGAGGGAAGACAATTTTTCCATGGATGGAGGTGGGGAGGGTTTCAGGATGAAACTGTTCTAGCTCAGATCATCAGGCATTGGAGGGCACAACTTAGATCCCTCGAGTGCTCGGTTCGCAAGAGGGTTCCTGCTCCTATGAGAATCTAATACTGCCACTGATCTTATGGGTAGTGATGCTCACTCTCCTGCCACTCACTCCCTGCTGTGCAGGGGGGTTCCTAACAGGCCACAGACTGGTACTGGTCTGCAGCCCCGCTGAGCAAAATTCTATTGCTTTTCAACCTAGATTCTCTTCTGCAAAATGGATTTATGTATTATTCTTAACCCTTTTCCTGTTTGCCCCTAGAATACTCACTTGGGGAGTGCAGCATTTACAAGATAACTTTGCCAGATAAAGAAATAGCTCACTTTTATTATTATTTTCACATCACTGTAGTATACAGACTTTGGAAACAAAATACATCATTCTATTTAGAGCATCCTGTTTTTGGTCGTGGTATTTCCATGTGCAAAATACAGTAGTTTTGGATCGCCAAAAATGTCAAATCCCAGCAAACGTAGCACTCCTATGAGTGATGTTAACATCGTTCTCAAAGAATTGGCTGAAGATTCATTCGATGAATCCGATTTTTCTGAAACAGATGATTCTGACGATTCAGAGGATTCTGATGTTAGTTCTGTTTACAAATAACAGTTTTTATATTTTATTTTCACACTGAAAATCAGATTTGCTTCAGCCTCAAAGAGTGTATTTCTATAAAATTAAAAGAGCGCTGGCAGAGAGCTGCATGGCTTTTTTCTCAACTGGGAAGAAGGTTAATTGGTTTCTAAAGCATTAGAAAAACATTTTGCAGCATGTATTTCCTAAATAGGTATATTTGTTTCTACGGCTATCCATGTTTTCTACCATCAATGTAATTACAAATAAAACTTAATTTTTTCAATTAATAAAATAAAAAGTCCAAATAGAAATTTTACTACTTTCTTTCTGCACCCCATCTATCACCTTGAATACCTTCTAGGTAGAATCTCCCAACTTTGAAGACCACTATTGGCTATTTTAACTTCACCAGGCTCTTTTGAGAATAAATTTATATACCTATCACAATTTCATGTTGCAGCGTGAGAAATGACACACATACACTTATACTTGATGGAGATTCTGTGAAGTGACTAGATATAATCTGTGAACAAATTCATATCCCTTGAATTTCCATACTTCCTAAGTAGAAAGTATTATAACTTCACAGAGAAAATGCCCAGAAATCTGTCTGAAATTCTGCTATCTGACAATACTCAATCTTTAAGCAGCACTTGTATTTTTAAATAGTTGGATATATTATAACTTTTCTTTTCCCTTTGACTGTTTAATCCTCCTACCTTAAAACTCACTGTTGATGGATTCGTAGGGTATATTCCAGGAAAAAGAAACAACAGAATAACAACTTCTCTTTATGTTTTGCGTTATTTATGTCAGACCTAAGATTACAGAAAATATCTATATATATTCTTCTAGTATTTTTCATCATTTGTTTTATATTGTAATGTTTAAAAGCGTAATCCACCTGACATGGTTTGTATATGAGTTGGAGACCTAGATTTCCTTCTTCCCAAAGGCGTTGCAATTGTCATGGCATATTATTCTTACTATGCATCTCTTTTTCTAGTCATGTGTTAGTAATAGACATAGGCTCTTAATTTATGTTATGTTTTGATACTTAGCAAGATAACTAAAAAGCGTACTTTCTGGTAAGAGTGGAATGGCAGGATATATAATCATTAGTGCACAGGGAAGAAGCTGCCTACAGGGCAGTGGGATCTTCTGATGTCATGCGGAGATTCGTCCCTCCTTTCTCCAGCACCATCCCTCAGTACACACGGTATACCTGCCTTGAGCCTTTACACACTTTGTGTTCTACCCTCTCTCACGATCACCCAAACAGTGATAGCCAGGGGAACAAGCAGCCCAAGAAGCTAGAGCTGCTATGGAAAAGCTAGCATTCAGTGAAATTCCGTAAGAAGAGTTGTACCGACATATACTTGTGGCTCTATAGGGACACAATATCAAGATGGACCAGATATTAGATCAGCAGTCCAAGTCAGGAAAAGCAGGTGCAAAGAACAGGAGTTGACTTTTGCAATTCTGGCATTTTGTGCCTGAGTTAAAATCTAAATCTGAATTTGTCTCCTAGGATGGGAATATACCACTGCTTCTTGCTGTACAAAATGGTCACAGTGAGATCTGTCACTTTCTCCTGGATCATGGAGCAGATGTCAATTCCAGGAACAAAAGTGGAAGGTACCCCAGAATTAGGCAGAAATCATGTGACTTCAGTGATATCCACATTCTGAGAGTATTTCAAAATATCACATTTTGTTATAAATCATTTGTTATAAAGGGGTTTTAACTTCTTACCTTTGTAAAGTTCTACTGTTTTTGATAATCAAGAATCTATGTTGACCTCAAAGCAATTTTCCCCAGACATCTGTGGACATCATTGCTGGCTAAGTCTGTGAGGAGACTATTATATGCTAACATGAATAAGCAATTTCCTATGACTTTCTATGCAAAATAAAATAAACTGATTGGTTGGTTTGGAGAAATGGTCTCAGCAACGATATGTTACTTAAAGTGCTTGAGGTGAAAAAAGGATAAGATTCATGCCAGTCATATTAAATCCCATCATATTATGCCAAATAATATAGAAGATTATGTTGTTTGACTAAATATGGTTTAATGTTTTGATTTAATCTGAAGTTTAAAAAAAAATGCCTAATTTCATCTTGATAGCATTCCACTTCGAATTCCCCAAAGATTAAGTATAATAAAGGTTTAACTGCACTTAATCTTCTTTCTGTCTCTCTCTCTTTTTTTAAGACAACTGATTTCCCAGGAAAGAGTTTGCACATTTTGTTAGTACTAATTTTGTGTCTCCCTTTTCCTTTAGAACTGCTCTCATGCTGGCCTGTGAGATTGGCAGCTCTAACATCGTGGAAGCCTTAATTAAAAAGGGTGCAGACCTAACCCTTGTAGATTCTCTTGGACACAATGCCTTACATTATTCCAAACTCTCAGAACATGCAGGAATTCAAAGCCTTCTATTATCAAAAATCTCTCAGGATGCTGGTATGTGAAAGAAAATAGCCAATGTTGTTTTAAATTTATCCACTCCATTTTCCCCAAAGGATAAAGGAATGTGTGCAATATGATATATTTTATTATTCTTTTAAACATATTTTTGAGGAAAAATGGAGTGTTAAAAAATATTGTGTATGGTGTATATGTGTGTATGTGTGTGTATCCCCCTACCCAAAGGGAATATGAATCATTATGGTTCTTATAGTTCTTTTTTTCACTTTTTCCTCTTTAGATTTAAAGACCTCAACAAAACCAAAGCAGGTATTTATCTCTGGGGGAGGCTTTTATGTTTCATTTATGCTTGTGGGAATTCTGAAGTTCAGATTTAACCACTCTGTGGTCCAATAGTAAAATAATAAAGACTGTATTGAAAATACTTAAGGACTGAAATATCTTTGAAATAAATGATTCATTGTTATAAGGTGGTAAAGGTTTTCTTAATAATTTGCTTTATTTTAAAAGCATGTAACTTTAAACTTGCTACTTATATGTTCATCTTTTTCTGAAATGTACTAACTCATACTTCCTATTGGTGTGAACATGTTTGATGCGGCTTAAACTCTGCGACTGAATAACGATGTTCTAAGTACTTGTAATATCACATGAGCTACAGATCTACAACCCAGAAAATGTTGGCTATTTAATGAAAATAAGAGAATTTAGCTTTTTCTTTTACTTAGGGTTTTTCTAGAATGTCATATAGTGTTACAGAAAGTAGAAATTGAGTTTGCCCTGTTATTGTAGTTTTTTCTAAAAATACGTTGTCACTGTTTTTTGACGAACAGTATATGTATGGTTGTTCTATTTATTTACACATCCAGGTTCTTGAAGAAATCATAAACAGCAAATACTCAATACTGAATATATGTGCTAACTGTAATACTTATCAATAACCTTCAAAACTGAAGTTATCCCTTTCCCTCATAGTCTTTTAAAAAGGAATGGAAATAATACAGAGGTGTGGAAAATACCACTGGTTTTCATTCATACAGAAAGCTGACTATGATTGTGTTCTGATTTCTAAATTGTGGTAGATGTCAACCTTACTTTGCCATTTCTCCACACCAACCTAATCTGGTTTTGTCTTATGTGTTTTTATTTTCTTGCTATTAAAGCATGGGCTCCTAGAAGAATACTTGGCGCATGCATATTATTTATGTTTGTAGCAGATTTCAGATTTTGATAAAGTAAGAAATGCATGAACTTTTGAGGTTTTTCTCATGTGTTTGATAAAGCTACTTGCTCAGACTTTACTAACCAAACTAACCCACCTCCATTCTTTGGACTGTGATAACTTTCAGCATGACCAAGTCTCTAAAATAAGCTCAGAAAGAAGTGGAACTCCAAAAAAACGCAAAGCTCCACCACCTCCTATCAGTCCTACCCAGGTAAAAACAAAAGCAAACCAACAATCAATAAACATACTACAAAAAAGCCATAAATTTGTCATTTTGTTTAGGCCAAAAAGGAATATTTTAGAACTGACCTTTAAGTGCATATTTAAAATTTTTCTTAGCAGTTTTAAATTACAAATTGTGGTAAGAAGGATTTTGATGATTAGTATGGAAATAATGTTGATTCTTATCTATTTTAAAACAGTAGAATCGAACAGCCTCTTTTTGAAAAGTCTCGAGGAAATTTCTCAAAATCTTATCACAGACACTTTTCCCTTAAGATAAGCTCAATTTATTTTTAGTTCCTTATATTATAAGATGTAGTAAGGAGTGGGAGAATGAGTAGCCAATGAGGCAGTTAGTTAAAAATGAATTTCAGTTAGTTTCTTAAAACATTGCTAAAATATATTTGCCTTTTTAATTACTGTACATTTACGGTTGGCTAATATTAAAAGAAGTTTTCATTTGTGAGCTTATAGTGACCATTGCAGAGGAGGAAGCTCAGTAATCTATGTAACTGCATGGAAAAACAGGTTGAGACTTGTTATGTAAAAATTCAGAGGCCACAAAGAGAATAATCCATATTTAAACAGTAGAGAGGAATAGCTCATCTCTTAAGTATTTTTAAATGCATGTTAGCATACTTATTCTTAACCTGCAACAAAAGTTTTATAGATTTAAAAAGTGATTTTAATATAGGAAGAAAGTTATATTCTGTAAACTTTCAGAAAGTATTTGAAGTAGCTGAATTGCATTGAAAATATTCTACCCTTGAATTAATTGATGCCAAGGATACTTACTGTTAGATTTCATTGCATTGGTTAAACAGGTCAATTATTCGGCACTGGAGAAGAAAAGAGTTTGAAGGTGCATTCTTTATGAATAATTTTCATTTTGTTTGTTGGTTTTTTTTAGTTAAGTGATGTCTCTTCCCCAAGATCAATAACTTCGACACCACTTTCGGGAAAGGAATCAGTATTTTTTGCTGAACCACCCTTCAAGGTATTTCTTTCTGTATTCAGTTTTGTTACTGTATTTTAAGATACATGATGGACTTGCTTTGAGTTATATAACAATGGGAAGAAACAGAATATGCTTCTGAATCATTGGTTCACAACCTTTTCACCAGGAAGTACCCCTTGACTATTTGTTCTGGCATGAACCCCATAAAGCAAGAATAGGTACAGCTAGTATGTATCCATAATAATTTAAATTTTTAAAAAATAATTGAATAAATTAAATTTACAAATCGATAATTGATTTTCTTCATTTAAAAAAGAAAAAGACAAGAGGGCCAAGTGCGGTGGCTCACGCCTGTAATCCCAACACTTTGTGAGGCCAAGGTGGGCAGATCACCTGAGGTCAGGAGTTTGAGACCAGCTTGGCCGACATAGCAAAACCCTGTCTCTACTAAAAATACAAATTTAGTTGGGTGTGGTGGTTCATGCCTATAATCCCAGTTACTTGGGAGGCTGAGGCAGGAGAAGTACTTGAACCCAGGGTGGAGGTTGGATTGCACCACTGCACTTTAGCCTGGGCGACAGAGCGAGACTCTGTCTCAGAGGTTGGGAAAAAAAAAAACAAAGTTTACTTGTATGGAATCTAAAAAAGTTGAACCCATAGAAGCAGAGATTAGAATGATAATTGGAGGAGTGGTGGGAAGTGTTGGGGAGATGCTGGCCAGAGGATAAGACATTTCATCTAGATAAAAGGAATAAGTTCAAGAGATGCATTCTACAGCATGGTGACTGTAGTTAATAACAACGCATTGGGTTCTGAAAATGACTCAGAGAGTAGACTTTAAGTGTTCTCATCACAAAAAAAGATAAATGCATGAGATAAATTAGTTCCACTTGGCCATTTCACATTATGTACATATTTGAAGACATCATGATGTACATGATAAATGTACACAATTTTTATTTGTCAACTAAAAAATAAATTGACTTTAAAAAAAATAAGGTGTGGAAGTTACCAGCTTCTACCTGTTATTCTCCTCATTCTTTCCTGAATGCAGAATATTAAGGAAATGCCAAAAATTATATTTCAGAAACTTCTCTATATACAATGTAATATCCTAGATTGGATCCTGAGACAGAAAAAGGCCATTCGTGGAAAAACTGGTACAATTTGAATAAAGCTGAAATTTAGGTAGTAGTAATTTACCAATTAACAAATTGGTAAATTTATATATGGCTACATATGTATATGTATTGTATATGACCACAAATTGTATAATGGCTACATATGTTGTATACTTTAGGAGAAATGAGTAAAGGTTTCTATCTTGCAACTTTTTTGTAAATCTTAAATTGTTTCAAATAAAAAATGTATTAAAAGTTCTTTAAAAAGAGGAAGTACTTAATAGATAACTAGTCTTCTTATCCAATTAAGTTGATATTAATTCCAGTCAAAAAGATAGAAACTTTTATTATTCTCTGATGTGTTACTGAGAAGTAATTGTATAGTTAATTAAATGTTTTCCTGACTATAAAAGTAATATGTATTTATTTTACAAACGTTAGAAAATCCATTAGGTCTCATCCACCTGGTTCTATAGGTTTGTGGTTGGAAAATATTTTAAGGAAGTGGGAGGATATTTCCATTTAATATCTGTTTATCTAATATACTAAGAAATTATACTTGGGGGGAAATAAAATTTATAATTGTTAAAATGAAATTTCAATATTGTATATTTACTTATTTTCCCTTATTTAGAATCACTAAAGATGTTTCTTTTAACTTGGATACACATTAATCTGGAAAAGATTCTATCAACCTGTCATTTCCCTCACTTTAGACGTTACTAATAAACTCTTCAGATGGATTCCTATATAAGACAAGGCAAGGAAGTTATACTCTTGTAGTTAGTACCCTAATATCTTCTGATACGACTGTGCCTCAAACAAGCAATGCAATCCAAAGAATAACATCACGAATAATGATTTTTCAGAGGGAGAGTATAATAGACTGTCATTTCTGACAAAACAAAAATCAAGATAAAAAGTGACATTTACTCCTATGTTAGCTTAAGGAGAAAAACAAAGTGGTACCTATTTAAAATGGCTAAAGTTTAAAAACACTAAAAATACCAAGTGAGGATGTGGCAGAACTAGAACTCCATATTCTGCTGATGGGAATGTAAAATGGCATAACTATTAACACTTTGGAAAGCGGGAAGTTTCATTAAAAGTTAAATATAAACCTAATAAATGATCCAGCCATCCACTTATAGGTGTTTACTAAAATGAAATTATATGTTTACTCACAATCTTGTATGCAAATATTTGTAGCAGCTTTATTCACAACCTCCCCAAATTGGAAACAATCCATATGTCCATCAACAAGTCAATAAAGACAATCAGATATACCCATATAATGCAATATTACCTGCCAATAAAAGGGAATGAACTGTAGTGCAAGTAACATCATAGTTGCATCTAAAAAGTCATCATGCTGAGAGAAGCCAGCCACCAAAAAATTCATAGGGGATGACATTCCTTTTATAGGAATTCTAAGAAATGCAAAAAAAAAAAAAAAAGAGATAGTTGTGATTGTCTAGGAATGACATGAGCAAGGACTGGTTAGGATAAGGCATGAAGAAACTTTTAGTAATGAACAGATTCTCTATCTTGACTATAGTGTTGGTTCTATAGGTATATATCTGTCAGAACCTCCTCAAATTGTAAACTTTAGCTGGATGCAGTTTATTATACCTTACACAGTGAAGAATGTATAAACAAGTAGATATATTATAAAAATGAAAGGACTACTTTTTGTAAAGATAAGCACTTACTAAAAATAAGCCACTTTATTTTTTAGCATTTGGGCTTTTATAAAGGTATCTTTGCTGAAAAATTCTCTTACTGTCTGTGGCTCATTCGGATGCCACATTATAATTTTTAGCAAGCCATTGTAATGCTTTGAAATGAGAGTATGGCTTTGAAGTTCCAAGAATTTTTACAGTAGATTAACAGATATTCAGGGACAAAGGATTAGAGAAAATCTTTAGGGAATCTATTGCCAATCTAAGTCCATTTATTACCATTTCCCTTAGAAAGGTTAATAATAACTTTAATAGCAGATAATTTATAAAATGATAAAGCCAAAAAATTTGATTTACAATATTTCTATCAATGTATAACTAATGCAGCTAAATAGGACTTCTCTTTGACTTCATTATGAAAGCAGTATTTGCCATCTCAGTTTTTAGTACAGTTTAGTACAGTTAGCAGTTTTTGAAGAAATTAACTAATTAACTCAGTAAATTAGCAATTACATGAAATTATAATTTTTTTTTCTGATCACCTCTAGCTTGGAGAAATTATTGTAATCTTAAATGTATTTGCATTGTACTCACTAAATGAAACTTTTGAAAAATATTTGGAGAATATACCTTCTGGAACTTCTAATGTTTTAGAAATTTAACTTATTAGATAATTGTCACTTTTACTCATTTATAGCTTAAAATACCATTTTTCTTTGAGATTTTCTAGCTGCTTTTCTAGTAGGATAATACCAGATCTGCTCTGCATAAGCTCAAGGAGGAAAGTCTGCTTGATTCTTTTGCACAATGTTACATTTAGGAGTGTTCTTTTAAATCATTTTTGTGTTTCAATAGGCTGAGATCAGTTCCATACAAGAAAACAAAGACAGACTAAGTGACAGTACTACAGGTAAGATAAGGAAGCATCTGTTTATTTTTGTTTTTGTTTTTTCTTTAACCAAACTTTATTTCATGTCCATTTAAAGAGTGCAAAGGCGAAGCTGGGGTACTGTATAGAAAGGTAACGAGCCAACTGGGTGCGGTGGCTTGCACCTGTTTGGGAGGCTGAGACGGGTGAATCACAAGGCCAGGAGTTCGAGACAAGCCTGGCCAACATGGTGAAACCCCATCTCTACTAAAAATACAAAAATTAGCTGGGTGTGGTGGCGAGCACCTGTAATCCCAGCTACTTGGGAAGCTGAGGTTGGAGAATCACTTGAACCTGGGAAGTGGAGGTTGCCGTGAGCTGAGATCGCACCACTGCACTCTAGCTTGGGCAACAAAGCAAGACTCAAAAAAAAAAAAAAAAAAAAAAAAGTCATGAGCCATCACCCCTGCACAGAGCTGCAGCAGCACACAAGCTGACATGCTCTGTACTTCGGGTACCTTCACCTGCATTTTAAAGAGTCTCTGAATTTGAATTTTGAAAAATACATATTTATTTTTATTTGTCCCAAACTACTTGTTAGCAGTTTCTTCAATTATGAATATAGGCAATAAGCCCCAGTGGTATTAGCATACCAGTGATTTTGTCACCGAGAGAATTCCTATCACATTACTGTTATTGAGGATTTCTTAAAATATCGACACTATTGCTACTAAAAACTATGGCAGTTATTAGACCTGCTGTTAGATCTTGTTATTGTTACCAAATAAGCTCTTAAGTTACTATAGCCTGTATGTTTCATCTCACACATTAAAAACATTATTTTCAGATGAGGTCCATAGGCTTCTACTGTCTGCTAACCGCACTCTTTGCAGCTGAGCAGCACATTATTTTATGAGGGAGAACCCACCATGTCACCTCCATGACTGTCCCAATCTAACTTTTTTCTACACTGGATTTTAAGTAGGCACATGCAAAGACAAGAATGTTCCTGAAATATGTAATCATACTGTCTTTATGATCATAGGGTTAAATTCATTGTATCCCTTAAAGAGTGCCTCCTAAGAATGCAATACAGTATCTTTAGAATCAGTTTAAAATAGAAGAGACCATTTCAAAGGTCCATTTTTGCTCCAGCATTCAGAGTCTTAATCTGTTGTGTATTTCATAGGTGTTCGGAGCCTTTAATATGCAGAACTTAGAAATATTTTTTATTCATGCATGTATTTATTTATTTTAGAGATGGTATCTTACTGAGTTGCCCAGGCTGGTCTCAAACTCCTGAGCTCAAGCAATCCTCCCATGTTGGCCTCCCATAGTGCTGGGATTAAAGGCATGAGCCACCATACCCAACCCTAGAAATATTAAACTTTCTAATTCCTGGCAGAGATCAATGTCAACATAACTGAACAAATGTTACATTGGGTACTTTAAAAACCATTCACTGTATCTTAGAAGTAATTTTTATTTCTTAGAATTGCCTTTATGCTCCCATTTCCCTAGTTCATTCCACACTAACCAAACTTCACGTCAAGGAAACTCAGAAAGCTATGATTTAGGCATCAGACATCAGGACATTGCCTTATGATCAGAAACAAGCATTTCTTCGAAGAAAGGTCATTTTGCATCCTTCCAAATTAAGATTAAAGTTTTCGTCTTTGCATTAAATGGCTGTGAGAAAATTAAAAGCATAGCATTAAAAATTTAGATCAATGTTTCTCAAAGTATGATTTGTAAAGTCTTTACTAGCCTATAATAATTAAGGAGTTTGAGTAGGGTGTGGTGGCTAGCACCTGTAATCCCAGCACTTTGGGAGGCTAAGGTGGGCGGATGACATGAGATCAGGAGTTTGAGATCAGCCTAGCCAACATGGCAAAAACCCATCTCTACTAAAAATACAAAAATTAACTATTTACATAAAATTATTGAGATTTTGTGTAATGGCTAATTATTGAGCATGCCTGCAGTCCCAGCTACTTGGGAGGCTGACACAGGAGAATCACTTGAATCTGGGAGGCAGAGTTGCAGTAAGCCGAGATGGGGCCACTGCACTCCAGCTTGGGTAACAGAGCAAGACTCCATCTCAAAAAGTAATAATAATATTAAGGAGTTTGGACCAGAAATTCACACAATTACTTCACTAAGCACATTGTTTTGTTCAGCTGACATATTTTTCATAGGACTTTCTAGATGAAGGAAGCAGTACATTGCACTGTGTTCTGGAGGAAGTTTGCTATCTCAGTGAGCACCTTGAATAGCACTCCTTAAGTTGTAATTCAGCATGATAATCAGTAGGATGTCAAAAAGTTGTGGTTTACCAACAGGGATTACTTTGGGATTCAGAGAAGAGAAGACAGTTTCATGCTAGGGCAGTCATTGAATGCTTTAAGGACTGGGCAAAGTTTGACATGGATGCCTAAGAATTCCCTGGCAGAGAGATTCTTCAGGCCAATCCTGTGGATTAAGAATGAAAGAATTAGCCATGCGTTGAGAATGTAGAGGGTGTGATGGGAACCATGAATCTGCGGAAAACAGAAATCTAGGAAAGTAGCAGTGTCATGAACCTGAAAAAGTAGACTGGGGCCAAATCATGGAGGCCTGAACCCAGATAAAGGAATTTGGAGATTATTTTTGGAGGGAAAACAATTAAAGCACTTGACCGAAACGAATGACCCAGTCGAAGTATGTCATAGGAAGACTGATCTGACGTTGTTGTGCAGGCTACAGTTTCACTGGGAAGAGGAGAGAGGCAGATTTTTTGGGAAGCTGTTTGCAGTTTCCAAGTAAGGTGATAAAATCTGAACTACAGTAATGGTGGTGGGGGGTAAGAAACCAGATTCCAGAGACATTTCTAAAATGATTCACAGAACTGAGACTTATGAGGCGCAGAGAAGAACCAAAAACAACCAAGATATGACACTTAAGCCAGTGAAAAGGAAATATGTGACCAAATTCATCAGCTTTCAGAATTGCCTTGTATACACATGTATCTAGTATTGTGCTAACAATACCACAGTAAGGAAACCCAGAACATGAAAATTACAGTTCATCCATCCAGCTGGTAGGGCGTTTTATAGTTAGGACCAGGAAGAAGAACTGGATTTGGCTAGGAAGTGAATTTGTCTGAGGTTAGAGAAATAAGAGTTTAATTGTTTTACATTATTTTAAATTGCTTTCTTTTCCCCAAGGTGCCGATAGCTTATTGGATATAAGTTCCGAAGCTGACCAGCAAGATCTTCTCGCCCTATTGCAAGCAAAAGTTGCTTCCCTTACCTTACACAATAAGGAATTACAAGATAAATTACAGGTATATAAATAGATTGCTATCATGGACTATTCTGTAGAGTCAAGCTCTTGGTCTTTTCAGCAGTCAGATGTATTTTGTTTTAAATGTGTACAGTAGTTTATTTTTAAATATTAGCTTTAAGCATCTTACAGTTTCAGATTATTTCGTGAGAGTTATTCATAACTCTTTCTGTAAATTATTCAACTGGTAAATTATATATGATTACACACATAGTATGATCAGTACGAAAATTATATGTTTAATAAAAAAATTATGTAAATAAAACAAATTCATAGAAATAAAAATTCTATATAAAATATACTATATACATATAATGATACATATAATTTTATATATAAAATTTTATATTTGATTTTACATATACATGAAAATTTTATATTTTAAGGTGTGTGTGTGTGTGTGTGTGTGTGTATAATATTAGCCATTCATTTAGTAAAATCGATCACTTAACAGGTTTAAGAACTTGATAAGAAACAGCTGTACCAAAAAAAGAGGAAGAAATAGCTGTACTTTATATCCATTGACCCTCTTGGCAAATAGAATGATATGAGAAATAAAGGAAAATGTTGAATTGGGGGCTTTGTAGAGAAAACAATTCTAGTGTTTTCAAAGTGACACAAATAATCTGTCCTAATAGAATGCAGAGCAAGCTTTGTGTCATTAGTCCCACTCTCGTGTCCTGTACCATCTTTTTTCATGGCATAAGAATATACATGATAAGTGATCATGCTACTCTCCCATACCAAAGTTGTGGATTTACTCCTCTCATTCTCGTTGATTGCTTAGCTAACCACACCTTTGGTATCATTTAATTCTTGCTTTTTTTCCTAGGCCAAATCACCCAAGGAGGCAGAAGCAGACCTAAGCTTTGACTCATACCATTCCACCCAAACTGACTTGGGCCCATCCCTGGGCAAACCTGACGAAACCGCTCCCTCAGACTCCAAATCATCTCCATCTGTCTTAATACATTCTTTTGGTAAATCCACTACTGACAGTGATGTCAGAATTCAGGAACTGCAAGAGAATTTGCAAGATTTACAGAGGAGATTAGAGAGCTCTGAAGCAGAGAGAAAACAGCTACAGGTCGAACTCCAATCTCGAAAGGCAGAACTGGTATGCTTAAACAACACTGAGATTTCAGAGAACAGCTCTGACCTCAGCCAGAAACTTAAAGAAACTCAGAGCAAATACGAGGAGGCTATGAAAGAAGTCCTTAATGTGCAGAAGCAGATGAAACTGGGTCTTGTCTCGCCTGAGAACATGGATAATTATTCACACCTCCACGAGCTGAGGGTCACCGAAGAGGAAATAAATGTGCTAAAGCAGGATCTGCAGAATGCATTAGAAGAAAGTGAAAGAAATAAAGAGAAAGTGAGAGAGTTAGAGGAAAGACTGGTAGAAAGGGAGAAAGATACCGTGATTAAGCCACCTGTGAAAGAATACGAGGAAATGAAAAGTTCATATTCCTCTGTTATTGAGAATATGAATAAGGAGAAAGCATTTTTGTTTGAGAAATACCAAGAGGCCCAAGAAGAAATCATGAAATTAAAAGACACACTAAAAAGTCAGATGACACAGGAAGCCAGTGATGAAGCTGAGGAAATGAAAGAAGCCATGCATAGGATGATAGATGAGCTCAATAAACAGGTGAGCGAGCTGTCACAGCTGTACAAAGAAGCCCAGGCTGAGCTGGAGGATTACAGGAAGAGGAAATCTCTAGAGGATGTCACAGCTGAATATATCCATAAAGCAGAGCATGAGAAACTGATGCAAGTGACAAACGTGTCCAGGACCAAAGCAGAAGATGCACTGTCCGAAATGAAGTCTCAGTATTCAAAAGTGTTGAATGAGTTGACCCAGCTCAAACAGCTGGTCGATGCACAGAAAGAGAACTCCATCTCTATCACAGAACATTTGCAAGTGATAACCACGCTGCGGAGTGCAGCAAAAGAGATGGAGGAAAAAATAAGCAGTCTTAAGGAACACCTTGCAAGCAAGGAAGTGGAAGTAGCAAAGCTGGAGAAACAACTCTTAGAAGAGAAAGCTGCCATGACTGACGCAATGGTATCCCGGTCTTCCTATGAAAAACTCCAGTCATCCTTAGAGAGTGAAGTGAGTGCACTGGCATCAAAATTAAAGGAATCAGTGAAAGAGAAAGAGAAGGTACATTCAGAGGTTGCCCAGATTAGAAGTGAAGTCTCACAGGTGAAAAGAGAAAAGGAAAATATTCAGACTCTCCTGAAATCCAAAGAGCAAGAAGTAAATGAACTTCTGCAAAAATTCCAGCAAGCTCAGGAAGAACTTGCAGAAATGAAAAGATATTCTGAGAGCTCTTCAAAATTGGAGGAAGATAAAGACAAAAAGGTTGGTGAAACTGTTTTGCTGTTGGGTTTCTAGCAATAAGCCAGGCTCTTTGGCTTGTACTGTATTAAATACTTGTAGTGTTTGTTGGGACTAAACTGGAGTGAATGCTCAGAGACTCTGCACATGAACTTTATCTGTCTTCAAAGCCACATTAAAAGTAGTTGATTGGGTATTTATGTTTTAAAAACACATCCACTGGGCATGGTGGCTCACTCCTCTAATTCCAGTACTTTGGGAGGCCACAGTAGGAGGATGGCTTGAGAACAGCCTCAGCAACATAGTGAGACCCCATCTGTACAAAAAATTTAAAAATTGTCCAGGCCTGGTGGTACATGCATATAGTCCCAGCCACTTGAGAGGCTAAGGCAGGAAGATCACTCAAGCCCAAGAAGTCAAGGCTGTCATGAGCCATATCAATGCCACTGTATTCCAGCCTAGACAACAGTGAGACCCTGCCTCAAAAAATAATAAGCAAACATAAATCTTCTGCCACTTCTTCTTATACTGAAGCATTTTCACATATGTGGTACATATTTGTCCTTTAAAAATCATTTTACAGAAGCTTTGCCAGTGTTGGGGATCAGAAGTGAACCTGCAAACTGAAAATTACTTGGGATCCACCTCAAACTTCAGGTCCTTTTTTAAGATTCAAAACAGGTTCCTCCATAATATAAAACTAAAATACTCCTAGACTGAATCCTGCTTCCCTAAGGCCCATGAGCTTCCCCTCAAGTCAGTGTAAAAGCTACCCTCGCTGGCCCTTCCTTTGACAGGTGTATAGGAGAGGACGGGGGAGGAATGTGGAGACGCGGCAATTAGAGATGGCGCTGGACACAATTAGAGATGGTGCTGGCCGCGCTGCTGGAGGAAGGAGGGAAGCAAAGGGGAAGTGGAGGAGGATGTTTCCACACCTCGGTTGGCTCTGCATCTCTAGTCCTCTGTCTCAGAGGTTCCAAATGCCATTCATTAGAATCTACTTATCTTTATTCTCTTGTAATGAGTGTTTCAAAAGAGCTGTAATAGCCAGGGGAACGGGGATTAGGGAGTAGTGGGGTACAATGGGAAGTTAGTTGTGTTTTCTTTAAAGGAAGATGTCCAGAGATACCAGGCTTCCTAGGCCTTATTCCTGATCACCCATGTCAGCAGTATTGCACAAAACATAGCCGTCTCCAAATAAACAATGCCTGAAATCCTAATTCTGATTTTTTTTCAATCATACCCCTTTTAAAAATAGGAAACCAACATCATAGCTTTTGTTACCATCATGCACCAAAATACATGTAATTCAGGGGCCTTTATCTGAATGTAATAGATATAGTGGGCTTTGTTAGTTTGCCTGATTTTGTTTTCTGTTTCACTTTATGAGGTTTTTTATGTAAACGTATTAAAAGGGAATTGTTCCAAATTCTTAAGTCCCAGAGGCCAAAAGAGATGACTGTGTTCGAGGCTTAGAAATATTTGAAATTTTGCTTTGCAGACATGTTGCCGCCTGCTAATACCATTTTCCTTTGTCCCTAGATAAGTGAGATGTCGAAGGAAGTCACCAAATTGAAGGAGGCCCTGAACAGCCTCTCCCAGCTCTCCTACTCAACAAGCTCATCCAAAAGGCAGAGTCAGCAGCTGGAGGCACTGCAGCAGCAAGTCAAACAGCTCCAGAACCAGCTGGCGGTGAGTGGGCTTGTTTCTGCTGCCTGGTTTGGGGTGGAGGGCCAGGCAGATTCCATAGCTCAGCTACTAGGGCCAGTGGGCATGAACAGAAAGATTCCCAGCCCAAAAGAACGTACTTCAATGAGCAGTTGACTGATTTCTTCAGTGATGGCAAAAGAGGGAGCCACTGGTGGAATTCCCAGTCATTATCAGCGATGCCATGGGTTAGATACTCACTGGGAAGGAAAGAACCAACAGGACGGTGGTAGGAGGCTGCATGCTCACTCGTACCCTTTTTATCCCTTCTCCTTTTTCTGCAAGTCTTTCTCCATCTCTGGCAGTGGCAAGAGCTTTTTCTTGTTAGGGGTCAGGATCTCTAGTAGTTGCATCTCTACATATCTGAAGCTGCTTCTTGGTCCCTCTCCTTATTTCACCTGGAAAGTGCTCGCTTATCTAAACTTGTTTTCTGGGTCCATGTAACAAATCACCACAAATTTGGTTTAAAAGAGCATGAATATATTATTTTATAGTTACATGGAACAGAAGTCCAACATCACTTTCAGTCAGCTTCAAGGTGTTGGCAGGGCTGGTTCTTCCTCGAGGCTGTAGGAGAAAATCAATTTCCTTGCCTTTCCAGCTTCCAGAGGCTGCCTGCGTTCCGTGGCCCATGGCCCCTTCCTCCATCTTCAGGACACATCACTCCAGCATCTGCTCAGGCTTCCCAAATTCTCCTTCAGCCTTTGACTTTCCTGCCTCCCTCTTATAAGGACCCGTGTGATTACATCTAAAGCCCACATAGATAATCCACGATAATCTCCCTTTCCATCTCAAAACCCTTAATTTCATCTGCAAGATGCCTTTTGCCATGTAAAGTAACATTCACAGGTTCTGGGAATTAGGATGTGGACATCTTTCAAGAGCCATTATTTAGCTTACCACAAGGTTTGAGTTGACATGGGTACATTAGGTTACAATGTACATGGGTACATTACATTAACACCTGAAGTCCAGGGTTAGTCTGTCCTGGACTGTCTCTAGCTTCCATATACAAACAGAACATGGATTTGATGATTTCTTCAGTATAGATCTAACTAGTGAATTCAGGTTTCTGCACTCCTTACTCTGGCTGGCCACAAAGTTCAATGCTAGCTCGTTGGAAGAAACAGCTCTAGCAATGGTGGATACTCAGAGGAGGAGAAGCTGCTCCTTACTGTGTTCTGCAGATCATTTTTCTGATAAAATGGTATTACAGACTTGTAGATAAAGTGCTGTTGGTTTACACAGCAATTCTTAAAATTATGCAACATGTGTTTGTTGAGCTCTTACTATGCATCAGTATTATACGTGGTGTTGATGATATAAAATGAGTAAGAATCACAGTTCCTGCCCTCATGGAGTTTATATAAGTTATCAACAAAGAGCTGCCACGAATGCCATGGGCATACAAAGGAAATGTGTCTACCCAATCATGCTGAGTCGTGAAAAGATTCCTACAGGAGGTATACTTATGCTGAGTCTTGAAGACCTGAGTAAGAATATGTTGTTACTCAGCAAGGACTGTCATGTGGCACTAGCTGGGTTTTGGGAACCTTGGTGAGAACCATTCCAGTGGAGTGGGGAGGATGGTAAAATCTGGAGTGCAGTAGACTGGCTGCTAGAGAAGTGAGTAAGTAGATAGGTATCTGTGGGGCTAACCAGTCACAGCAGGGGTTGGGGAAAGCCTGAAGCAAGTTTGCTGGAAACATGGGAGGTGGTGATTAGGGCGTGGGATGCTTTCAGTTGAGATTTCGGGAGTGGTAATGACAGAGGCAGGGCTATGACCATGAGAGGAGCTGCTGAACCGAAGAGGAGCATGTTTAATTAAAGCTGAAGTCGAGGAACTGAGAGGTCTAGATGTTAGATGGATCATTCACACTGATATCAAAGCCAACCAAATGATGACAGAAGAAGGGATGGAAAGGAAAACAGAGATCAGAAGATAAAATCATAAACAATTGAGTAGGGATTGCTGAAAGGTGGGAAGGGAATACCACAAAGAGAATAGGCAAATGTGCCTTCTTCTGGTGTTAACTTCAAAGGACGGGCTTCAAAGTGTCCCCTAATGACAGGAAAGACACCTCATATTCTGACACTGATAGGGGGAAAGGAAGAATGGGTATTATGGACTTTTGTACATTTTTTAAGTAATCCATATATGATGGTCTCAATTTTCATGGTGAAGTAGGAGGACAGGCTCTTAGAATGAGAAGAGTTTCAGAGCTAACACCCTTGAAACAGCCACAGAGAAGAACTGGAATAATAGCTCAACAAGGTGAAATAGAAGCATCAGCAGCTGTATTAAGGAACCACTGGAAATTAAGGCCACGCTGTTTGCCTGCTGGGTACACTGATAGCTCCCCAAGGATTATACAATGCTGGCCATACAGTGGGTAATCAATAATTCCCTTAAAAAGAATAGACTGTAAAAATTAAATTAGTACACATTTGATCATTATAGAAAAGCTGAAAAATACAGAAAACTCTTAACAAGTTCCTATAAAAATTTTCAATCATTCAACAGCTTTGAGATAATCACTATTTGCATTTGATATATTTCCTTACAGTGTTTACATTGAATGTAGCTGTATTTGCATAAATGAGTACATATATATACGTGTGTGTGTGTGTGTGTGTGTGTGTGTGTGTGTGTGTGTGTGTGTATTTTTTTTTTTTTTCTCGAGACAAGAGTTTTGCTCTGTGGCCCAGGCTGGAGTGCAGTGGCATGATCTTGGCTCACTGCAACTTCTGCCTCCCAGGTTCAAGTGATTCTCCTGCCTCAGCTTCCTGAGTAGCTGGGATTACAGGCACCCACTATTATGCCTGGCTAATTTTTGTATTTTTAGTAGAGACAGGGTTTCACTATGTTGGCCAGGCTGGTATTGAACTCCTGATCTCCACTGATGTGCCCACCTCAGCCTCCCAAAGTGCATATATTTTTAAAAACAAACTTGGGATTATAATAACTCCTTTTTATACAGTTTTTTCTAGAGTTGAAATATCAAGATTTTTTCCCTAAGATTATTGACAAGTATTCAGAAATACACAAGCCAGTAAGGCCACAACAATTTTAGAAGCTTCCAATGCTAGAAGCTTCCAACGCTAGCATAAAGTGGAGGTAACCACTTGGGTAGCATTTGACTGCAGCTTTCCCATAGTTTTTTGTTTTTGTTCTTTAAAGATCTCCTAAGTTCATTAATAATGTGAAATATTATCTTTCTAGGAATGCAAGAAGCAACACCAGGAGGTCATATCAGTTTACAGAATGCATCTTCTGTATGCTGTGCAGGTATGGTAATACCCCTTGAAGTATCTGGACATCCTAAAGAAATACGGCAGCAGATGTTGACAGAACTCCCATTATTAGACTATTTGAATGAACAAGAATTAGAGGAGAATCCTTTTCAATAGGAAGCTTGAATATGCCTTTTGTATTGCTTTGGATTCTGTGTCAGGAGCCTCGTGCCCTGTTTACTAGGAGCAGCCCCATCTTTTAAGGCAGGGCCTAACTCTGTCACCCAGGCTGGAGTGTAGTGACATAATCTCGCCTCACTGCAGCCTCGATGTACCGGCTCAAGTGATCTTCCCACCTTAGCCTTCCAAGTAGGCAGGATTACAGGTGCCCACCACCATACCTGGCTAATTTTTATATTTGTTTTGTAGAGACGGGGCTTTGCATGCTGCCCAGGCTGGTCTCAAACTCCTGAGACCAAGAGATCCACCCATCTCAGCCTCCCAAAGCGCTGAGATTACAGGCATGAGCCACTACACCCAGCTCTCCCATCATTTATTGAGGAATGAGGGATGATGTGGTCCTTCATTGGGAGGATGAGGGCTTTATTTTCCAGCAATGCTGATCTTCTCAGAGCTACCAGCGCTGCCTTAGCTCTATGATGCCTGCTGTTCTGGCTGCTGGACTCATATTTGCAACTGAGACACCTTTGCTGAAGGATTTGGTAGACACTGCCACCTTATCTTACAGCTGGATAAGGGAAGGGCCCTTTCTTTGACTCAGTTCCTCATAGAAATGTGGGAAATGATAGGGCTGGCATTCCTGTGAAAGATGGGTAAATTAGCTCAGAGCTTCATCGCACTCAGCCATCTCATTCCCCAGAGAAGGAAGTTCCATGGCTTAATTTAGGCTCTAATGAGTATCTTATGTTTGAATATCCTAGGGCCAGATGGATGAAGATGTCCAGAAAGTACTGAAGCAAATCCTTACCATGTGTAAAAACCAGTCTCAAAAGAAGTAAAGTGGATTCCTTGGCAGGACACTGCCCCCTTGTCATCATCTTCGTGTTAGATCCAGAGTTGTTGGCAGCTGCTGCCATTGTTCTCATTGTATACACTGTGGCCTAGCGTAGCTTCTTCCCTTTCCAAAGGTTTTTGAGGACTTGTCCCAGAAGAAGACTAGCGCCTCCGAACTGCTTAGAGACTTCAGACCAGCAGAGGTGAAAGTCCCTGTCATCCCTTCAGATTCCAGAGCTGGAATCAGCCACACCCAGAAGTCTGGTCCTGATGCTGGCAGGGGGGGCCCCTCCTCCATACCTGACCAGCTGAGTGGCTTTATCACCACCAAGTGATGTGCTGAGGCCTCCTGCAGTGAATGCTGCTTCCATTCCTGCACTCGGGCTGTGCCACTCAGCACAGGAGAGCTCTTTTTGCCTTTGGCTTTCAATTCCAAAACATGATTTAATTCCTAACTAAATTAGTATGGCACTAGGTTATGAAGTATCTGCTTAAAACTCTTTATCATGACATCCTGTGGATTTTAAAACTCCTAATTCCATGTTTTCTTCCCATCTGCCTTATATATCTCATCACCCTGCTTATCAATATTCATTTTGATGAGCACTATTAACTAAAATACGAACCTTAAAAACAAAAGCAAGTTGTCCTTAAAAGTTCTTTTTTTAAGTAAATTGTTGACACATTGCAAATTTTCTATGCAAACTTGCCTCCTGCTGTTATCCATGAAGCTCAGGAAATCCAAACATTTGTGTTTCAACAAGGGACAGTAAACTGTGTGTTTACAGCCAAAAAAAATGCCTCATAGTTCTTAACCTCAAGTTTTATAAAAGTGTTTTTTTCTCTGTAATATTTTTATTGGCTCATAAAGAAGTTTTCATATCTAAACCCCTAAATAAGTGAAATTACAGATTATATTAAAATATTTTTTAGGTAGCCATGCTTGAGACTTTTTAAAAATATAACTTTTTCCTCAAAGTTTTCAGCTATAGCAAAAGGTAATTATGTATGCCAGACTTAATATAAGCTGCCACCAACATTCCTAGAACTTTCAGCCATTGGGTCTTCAGAATTGTAGTGCATTTCTGAATCTAGCAAATTCTCTTTTTACCCATTGGATGTTTTTGAATGTCTTGACTCTACCCGCGCCCATAAATGATCTCTGGAAGGACTGTTAGTACCAATCTGTTTTTCAACTTCAAAGCTAAAAACCCTGATATGGTAATATTATGGTGCATAGCAGAGGTCTTGAAAAAAAATTTCTGTTCACTTTCCTTTCAGCTTCAAAATGTTTCTAACATGCTTGCAGCTTCCTTTGTGGCATTAGTCTTGTTGAGGGAGAGAGACAGAATCCAGGACTCTCCAAAGTATTTAACTGAAAGTAGGGCCTGCTCTGACAGGGCCCACATCCCACAGGGCTGCCTGGGCTTAGCGGGTGCTTGGCTGTACTGGATGATATGTTGATCTGTATTGGATGAAGACCAATGACAGCAAAGCAAAATTGGCTTTAAAGCTTGGTGTTACTTTTCTTAAGTTCAATTACAGTTAAGCAATTTCAAAAATGCTCCAAAGAAATGTGAAAGGACTTTTTGTCACCGTACTTCAGAAAATACAAAACAACCCCTTCTGCCCCCCTTCCCCCCAACACAGAAATGCTGCAGAGTATATAAAACTTGAGACATTTTTGTAGGATGCCTGACAAGGTGTAGCCTTTTATCTTGTTTCCGGATGCGTATTTATTACAAGTACTCTGGTTAAATATTGAAAAGTTATATGCTGTAGTTTAGTATTTTGTCTTTGTAATTTACAGAAGTTATTGCAGAAAATAAACTTGTTTCATTTTGCATTTCTGGTCTTGATTTTCGGTGTGTTCAGATGCATATCACACAGGCTTCTGAAGATCAGTTCAACAGCATTTCAGCATGACGGGTCTTCTAGCCTGCGCTGTGACCAGCAGGTGCGAGGTGTCCACACTGCCTCACAGTCTCACATCATTTCCCTTTCCTAGCTCTCGGATTCACCCTGAGCTCTGCCCCAAGTATCAGCCACTTTGGGGCAACTGAATCACAGTCCTTTAATTCACAATTGCCTCTCATTTGATCTGGAATCTTTTTAACTGTTTGGAAGTCTCCACTGGATTTTTTTCCCTCTTCTTTCTTTTTTTGAAAAAGTAATTCATACACACAGTAAAATACATATATATATACACATATATATCCAAATATCCAAATACATTCTCCTGTCCCGTTATAATTCAGTTCATTCCTGACAAAACTCTTGTCAGGTGAATTGTGGCAAGGTTAAAATCATAATTAAAATTGTTACAGGTTAAAATAACAAAGATGACATGAAATAAGTACAATTACTTAAGGAGTTAGCATTGTTTATCATCCTACAACATAACAAGGCCATTTCCCTTCACTTAGAACATGATTCCATCACCTCTACTTCAGTTTCATTGTGCCTTCCTAATACACACTGAAAAAAAATTTCTTTTTTTTGAGATGGAGTCTCGCTCTGTTACCCAGGCTGGAGTGCAGTAGCAGGATCTCAGCTCACTGCAACCTCCGCCTCCCGGGTTCAAGCAATCCTCCTGCCTCAGCCACCCTAGTAGTTTGGATTACAGGCATGCCCCACCATGCTAATTTTTGTATTTTTAGTAGAGACAAGGTTTTGCCACGTTGGCCAGGCTGATCTCAAACTCGTGACCTCAGGTGATCCACCTGCCTCGGCCTCCATCAGTGCTGGGATTACAGGCATGAGCCACCGTGCCTGACCACACTGAAACTTATTTCAAACAAAGCATGTGTGTGATACTCAATTGGACCTTTTATTTCCACTGTGGCCAACCACACAACTCAGAAGGTGACTTCATGGAGACACTCAGCTGGGGAGGAAACTGAGATAAACCCAAATAAGTCATCTTTGTTTGATAGAAATGCCTCATAAGGCCAAGTTAGGGTATGAAAAGAAACTCTCCTGCCTCTGCAATTAGCAGCTGAGACTGTAGGAAAAGTGAAAGGAACCACAAATAAATCTTTCTCTTATTCCCCAATCCTCAGTGCATCTCCCCAGAAGCAACATCTATTAAGTTTCTTTGGTGACCTGAGACATTCTCTGTCTATATGTACATGTAGGCATGTATTTTTCTTTCTTTAAATATCTTGGAGATTATACTCTGTCAGTACACACATCTCATTCTTTGTAACTGCTGAATAAAATGTCAGAGTATGGGCTATATTTTATCTTGATAATTCCACATTATGAAAACTGCTTACAGTATTGTAACTACAAAAATGATGCAATGACCCCTATCCTATGTATGTATGTATGTCTTTACATGTGTGAGGATTGTTTGAATTTTCAAATTGCTCATTTCTACATTAGCTTCCATTAAGATACGATATAGGTTGAAAAAAATATTGTTCATATTGTCACATTAGAAAAAATGGCCTTCCCTTCATGTTGTTGGTTAAGAGTTATCAATTTGTTTTCCTTACATACACTTTAAGACAAATTCCAAAGCCTTTGATAATTAAACCCACCAGAGGACGATCCAAGATGGCCAAATAAGAACAGCTCTGGAGTGCAGCTCCCAGCGAGAACACAGAGGGTGAGTGATCACCACATTTCCAAACAAATTTTTACTGCCCACAGACCAGGAGATTCCTGGGCAGAAATGCACCACAAGTCGCCAGCACAGCTGTTACAGCCAGCGCAGCAGATCTCCACACAAAAACTGAAACAAATCTGCATGCTGTTTCAACTGGTGCCTGGAATGCCTGGGAGACAAAGTTGCTCATTCAACTGAAAAACAAGGAGGCTGAAACAGGGAGCCAGGTAATCTGGCTTGGGGGTCCCACCCCCACAAAGACAAGCAGTCTGAAACACTCTGGACTGAGAGTTTCATAGCAAGCACAGCTGGACCCTGGACAATCCAGCTCTGTGGGGGGAAGGGCATCCGCCATTACTGAGGCAGTCTGCCATTACCGAGGCAGTCTGCCATTACAGAGGCAGTCTGCCATTTCAGACACAGTTTGCCATTACTGAGGCAGATGGCCAGTACTGAGGCATTTCTAACTAAACCTCTATAAACAAAACTGCAAAGAAGTTCACACAGCAGCTGGGCAGAGCCATGGCAACTCAGCAACGCCTCTGCTGGCAGACTGTGAGTAGGCTACCTCCTCGCTGGGCAAGGTATCTCTGAAAAACGGCAGCAGCACATCAGGAACTGATAAATAAAGCCCCACCTTCCCAGGACAGAACACCTGGGGGAAAAAGGCAGTTATGAGTTCCACTGCAGCAGACTTAAATACACCTGCCCAGCAGCTTAGAACTGAACAATGAAGCTCACAGCTCAGCACGTGAGCACCTATAAGGGACAAACTGCTCAAGCAGCTCCCCGACTGTTGTATATCCAAAAAGACACCTCATAAAGAACAGCTCAGGCTGACATCTGGCAGGTATCCTTCTGGGACAAAGATAACAGAAGAAGAAACTGGCAGCAACCCTTACTGTTCAGCAGCAGCTGCAGATGATCCCCAGGTAAGCAGGGTCTGGAGTGGACCTCCAGCAGTCCTATAGCAGAAGGGCCTAACTGTTAGAAAGGAAAACTAAAAAACAGAAAGAAATAACTTCATCATCAACAAACAGAACATCCATTCAGAGACCCCATGTGAAAGTCACCAACTACAAAGACCACAGGTAGATAAATCCACAAAGATGGGAAGAAGCCAGCACAAAGAGAATGAAAACACCCAAAACCAGAACGCCTCTCCTCCAAGGGATCACAACTCCTCACCAGCAGGGGAACAAGGCTGGATGGAGAATGAGTCTGATGAATTGACAGAAACAGGTTTCCAAACGTGGGTAATAACAAACTTCTCTGAGCTAAAAGAACATGTTCTAACCCAATGCAAAGAAACTGAGAAGCTTGAAAAAAGGTTTGACGAAATGCTAACAAGAATAAACAGCCTAGAGAAGAATGTAAATGAATTGATGGAGCTGAAAAACACAACACAAGAACTTCGTGAAGCATACCCAAGTTTCAATAGCCTAACAAACCAAGCAAAAGAAGCGATATCCAAGATGGAAGATGAACTCAATGAAATAAAATGAGAAGGCAAGATTAGAGAAAAAAGAGTAAAAAGAAATGAACAAAGCCTCCAAGAAATAAGGGATTATGTGAAAAGACCTATGTATGTAAAATAGGTATGCCTGAATGTGACAGAGAGAATGAATCCAAGCTGGAAAATACTCTTGAGAATATTATCCAAGAGAACTTCCCCACCCTAGCAAGGCAGGCCAATATTCAAGTTCAGGAAATACAGAGAACACCACAAAGATATTCCTCAAGAAAACCAACCCCAAGGCACATAAGCTTCAGATTCACCAGGGTTAAAACGAAGGAAGAAATGCTAAGGGCAGCCAGAGAGAAAGGTAAGGTTACCCACAGAGGAAACAGACTCACAGAGGATCTTTTGGCAGAAACCCTATAAGCCAGAAGAGAGTGGGGGCCAATATTCAACATCCACAAAGAAAATAACTTGCAACCTAGTGGGGGCCAATATTCAACATCCATAAAGAAAAGAACTCTGGCTAGAATTTCATATCCATCCAAACTAAGCGTCATAAGCGAAGGAGAAATAAAATCCTTTATGAACAAGCAATTGCTCAGAGATTTCATCACCACCAGGCCTGCCTTACAAGAGCTCCTGAAAGAAGCACTAAACATAGAAAGGAACAACCAGTACCAGCCACTCCAAAAATGTACCAAATGGTAAAGATCATCGACGCAATGAAGAAACTGTGTCAAATAATGGGCAAAACAACCAGCTAGCATCAAAATGGCAGGATCAAATTCACACATAACAATATTAATCTTAAATGTAAATGGGCTAAATGCCCCAATCATAATACACAGAATAGCAAATTGGATAAAAAGTCAAAACCATCGGTGTGCTGTATCCAGGAAACCCATCTCACATTCAAGGATACACACAGGATCAAAATAACGGGATGAAGGAAGATTTACCAAGCAAATGGAGAGTTAAAAAAAAAGAAGCAGGAGTTGCAATCCTAGTCTCTGATAAAATAGGCTTTAAACCAACAAAGATCAAAACAGACAAAGGCATTACGTAATGGTAAAAGGATCAATGCAACAAGAAGAGCTAACAGAAATATATACAGACGCAATACGGGAGCACTCAGATACATAAAGCAAGTTCTTAATGACCTACAAAGAGACTTAGACTCCCACACAATAACAGTAGGAGACTTTAACACTCCACTGTCAATATTAGACAGCTCAACGAGAAAGAAAACTAACAAGGATATCCAGGACTTGAACTCAAATCTGGACCAAAAAACCTAATAGATATCTACAGAACTCTCCACCCTAGATCCACAGAATATACATTCTTCTCAGCACCACATTACACCTACTCTAAAACTGATGACATAATTGGAAGCAAATCACTCCTCGGCAAATGCAAAAGAATGGAAATCATAACAAACAGTCTCTCAGACCACAGTGCATTCAAATTAGAACTCAGGATTCAGAAACTAACCCAGAACCACACAACTTCATGGAAACTGAACAACTGGCTCTTGAATGTTGACTGGGTAAACAATGAAATGAAGGAAGAAAGAAAAATGTTATTTGAAACCAACAAGAACGAAGACACAACATACAAGAATCTCTGGGACACATTTAAAGCAGTGTCTAGAGGAAAATTTATAGCAATAAATGCCCACATGAGATGCGAGGAAAGATTTAAAATTGACACTTTATTATCAAACTTGAAAGAGCTAGAGGAGCAAGATGAAAAAAACTCAAAAGCTAGC